GCCACCAAAAGTACAAGGAAAACTAAATAACAAGCAAAACTAAATACATGGCATGAAAGCATGTGGAAAGAGGTTGTTATGGGCATGCGGCCACGAGCAACAGGCCCTGGACAAGCATGACCATGACACCAAGCAGGTCGTTTGATACCTCTTCCTTGCCTTTGGGAGAAGTTAAACTTTGTTAAAGTATAGATATTAGTATATTTTATATTTTTGTATTAATATTAATTTGTCCTTTACCTTCTTCTTATAGGATTAGGTCAACCTTGTATATTTGTCTATATATATAAACTTTAATAATGAGAATACATCACATTGGATTCTCTCCAACCTTAGTCTCTACAAACTTGATAAACTCACTTATTCTTTCCATCATCTACAACTGCTGGCAGACCATAATCTGAAACGTTGACGAAGTATTGAGTTACCTGTAATTGGTTATTTCTTGTAATCAATTATTTAGACAGATGACCTACAGTTTCTTTTAAAGATACTATTAACTTCTATGATAACCTTCATTTTTGCTGAATTAGATAAGAAGGCATTAACAAATGGTAACATGGAATACAATTCATATCAGAAGTGCTCAAGTTCTTCTGAGTACGCGAGGCAATTGAATACTGCATTTCTTCAAGATCAATGCACCAGTTCCAATCGCAAGTGTTCAACTTCTTCTGAGCATATAAGGCCAATTGTTCGTGATCAACATACCAGAAATAATAAAAATCATTCCTTGCATCATATGTATGACTTGACAAAGGGTGAAGAGAAAGTCAAAATATCTTGGGTTAATGAAATTGGAAAGGAATCTCTCCCCAAGTTCAATTACATACCAAACAATATAATTTTTCAAAATGCCAATGTCAACATTTCACTGGCTCGGATTTCAGAGGATGAATGCTGTTCAAGTTGTTCAGGTGATTGCCTTTTATCATCTTATCCATGTGCTTGTGCTCGTGAAACTGGTGGGGAATTTGCTTACACACGACAAGGCCTGCTGAAAGAAGAATTTATAAATCACTGCATGTCTATGAGATGCGAGCCCAAGAAGCAGCATCTTTTTTATTGTCAAGATTGCCCAATTGAGAGGTTAAAGAATGTCTACAAGCCTGAGCGATGCAAGGGTCATTTACTCAGGAAGTTCATCAAAGAATGCTGGAGAAAATGTGGATGTGACATGCAGTGTGGAAATCGAGTTGTACAACGAGGTATTTCTTGCAAATTGCAGGTCAGATTTTCTTTATATCTTCCTATGATGGTGCTGTTCTGAAATTACATTTCGCCAACTTGTATGGTTTACTATGTATTGGATATTATTTACTTGGTTTATGAGAAACCCATTCAAATTGATGATAAGTTCAAAGTGATCTGTTCATCATTATTGACCACATCTAAGAAAGTACTCATAAAAAAAGCTCTGACAATCTTTAACAAAAGAGTACCAGTACTCGAAACCAACATAGGTGAGTAGGTAGAGAACCTAGGGCACGAAATAACTCTTTCTAATTGCATGAGTTTACATGGACTGCTTTTCACTCTTCTCCCGTGATGCTAATTCACTATTGATTATTTTTGGTCTTGTAAGGTGGTCCTTTCTAATAAGAAAGTACTCCTGCAAGAGTAAGTTTTTTATTAAGATCATCTTGCTATAAGAATAATTTGAATAGGTTAGTTGCTTCAACCTTCAATAGATAGTGTTTGGTCTGTTTATTTGAGTATTAAGACAAAGAAATGAGAGTGGAAACTTTTTAACTAATCCTTTTCTTTTAACTGTTTAATTAGTTTTTCCCAACTTTGGCCTTTGCATTTCTGTACATATTTCTTTTGAAAAATATTTGCCTATACACTGGTTAGAAGGAGCTCCAACCAACCAGTGTGTTGGCAATAGTTTTCCATTCCTTTGGCAACTCTTTTAAACTGGCTCATGAATTTTAATGATGTCGTCTAACAATATAAAGGAGATGTATACTTGTTTGACTTGCTTACTTTAAACCAGATTCCCTGTTATGACTTTATTATAGGTAAGATACGTACTTGACTTTCATGTTTCAGGTATTCTTCACTTGTGAAGGAAAAGGATGGGGTCTCAGAACACTAAAGAACTTGCCAAAAGGGTCTTTTGTATGTGAGTACGTTGGTGAAATATTGACAAATACAGAGTTGTATGATCGAAATATGCAAAGCACCGGCAACGAGAGGCATACATATCCAGTAACTCTAGATGCAGACTGGGGCTCGGAGGGGGTTTTAGAGGATGATGAGTTACTTTGCTTGGATGCGACGTATTATGGAAATGTTGCAAGATTTATCAACCACAGGTAACGTAAGAATTGCATACACATTATTTTATTTTGTATAAATTGAGAGAATGGAAGGTTATTCGTGAGTTCAGCCCTGGTGAGATCATAACTAACACAACTATAATAAAAAACATTTCACTGGTGAGATCATAACACACCGATGAGATCAGCCCTGGTGAGATCATAATTAACACACCTATGAGATGATAAGCAACATTTCAATGGCTTGGATTCAAAAGTTTCCCAGAATTGGCACATTTTAAGGTTTGGCGATCAGAGGATACGACAAATTTCTTGCCAATTGTGCAGTGTTCCCACTATCTGAGTGCTTTGACTAATGCATACAGCTCCTATTTGTAATTGCTTCACTTTGTGCTAGCTTCGTTGAGTTTTTCCCTAAACAAGCCCAGGGGTGTCCATCTTGAGACTATATTGCACTTCATAATTATCCAGGAGAGCCCAAATTGGAGTAGAAGTTAGCTCTTCCTTAAGCACATCAAAACCTCTTTGCTTTTCTTTATTCCCCTGGTATATTCCGTTCCTTAGGCTAGATAATCTGTTAATGGAGTTGTGATTGTGCTAAGTATCCAATGAACTTCATGTAAAATGTAGAAAGAAACAAATTAACATAGAAGTTAGCGGTATTAGGCAATTCCATTGATTGAAGAATGTTATTTTTACTGACATAGTTTTTTCAATCGAACTTGTTTTGAGGACATTATATTACAACTTATTAATCCCTTTGGCTTTAACTCACTTTCCTAACTTAAATGTTTGTTTTTCTTCTTTAGATGTTTCGATGCAAATTTGATCGACATTCCYGTTGAAGTGGAGACTCCTGATCGACACTACTATCATGTATGAATATTAACGAACTTATACATGTTCTTGTCTAGTAAAATGTTGCTGTCCATGGGAAAAAGTAGAAACTTTCTCTGCTTCTTGTACTGGAAAAGGGAAGCATCTTGTATTATTTAAAGAAGTTAATCTACTTTCATTTCATGTCCTTTATATGCAGCTTGCTTTTTTCACTAGCAGGGAAGTGAAAGCTTTGGAAGAGCTTACATGGGTAGGTATGCTTGACTAACAAACTAAATTCTATCATGATTTCTTTTTCTATTATTATCTGGAAATGAAATTTGATGCGAAATATTGAATTCTATCGAGTGTGCTCTATCTTGTGCTGATTTTAAAATGTGCAATTATCAATGTTGAAGTTAAAGCCACTTGATGTCCTACTTGATAACAATTTCTCTTATCTCATTATAATTAATATGCTTGAACCATATGGTTTGTGACAAATTTGGAGGGCTCAGTTTTCCCAGGTAAAGGTCTCAAAGGTCAAGTCTAATTCCTTATAGAAAACATGGACATGATGTAGATATAGTGACATATTTTAAAAAGAAATCTGGGACATGAACATGGCAAGGGCATACCTATTAAGGGAAAATTTAAAGTTACCCATATACTTGAGTGATTGAATCAATTTTAACGTTAAATTTGTAATTTTATCAATTTAAACCCTAAACTTAAATGGGACGAGAGCGGTACTAAGTTGGGTGACCACTAGGGAAGTCCTCGTGTTGCACCCCTTTTAAAAAAGAAACAATCCTCAACTTAAATGTTGCAATTTAAACCCTAAGCTTAAATCAGTGATGCAATTAAYACCCTAAATTAGTTAAACTTTTATTTTTTTTTTCTACAGATTTGTAATTAGCTATAGGCGTTCTTATAATTAGATGAAACTATAAAATTTTTAGAGGCTGGAGATTTGGAGGAGTTTGATCTATTTTAGGTTTCATGTTTCTCTTTGGGCCTCATTTTAGGTCTTATTTTGTTAGATTGAAGCTACTTTTTGGTTTAGCTGGGCTCCCTTTTTGTGAGGGATGCCTTTTTGTATGCCCATTGTATTCTTTCTCTTTTATCTCAATTAAAACTTAATACCTTTTCAAAAAACTATATCTAGATAGATGAAACTATTTTGTATTGGTTTTTCTACTTGTGTTGGATGCTTTTAATTGGTTGGGTTTGGGCATTTTGTTACTAAGTTTAAGCAATTTTTATCTTCTTGATTTTGTGGCTTGACTCAACTATTTTCTTATTGGATTTTGACATTTCTTTGACATGATTTTGAGTGCTTTTTAGTTTAATTTTGTATGGTTTAGTTGTTGGTTTTTTAGAAATTTTCGGTTGTTGGTTCAGTTGTTGGATTTGGACATTTCTTTGACATGATTTTGAATGTTTTGTTAGTTTAATTTTTTATGGTTTAGTTGTTGGTTTATGAGAAAATTTCAAATTTTAGCTCGGAGGATATATTAATTGCAAAAGTTATTTAAGTTAAAGGTTTAAATTGATGAAATAAAAATGTTTAAGGTAAAAATTGAATCACTCATCTAAGTTCACGAGTAAAAGTTGAACTTTTCCCTAAAATATATACATTCGAAATAGAAAACAAAAGTTTAACTTTAAACACTCTTTACTTATGTGTCTATAATTTTTTTGTCACATGTTCATAGTATTGATCTAAGAAGCACAAACACTTCATTTTGGGTAACGTGTCCGTGTCGGACACTCCGACACTTATCGAACACTTGTTAACTTAATAGATGTATGTCACACACTAATGGTACATAGTGAATATTGATTCGACACTTGTTAGGCACATATCGACACTTGTTAAGCATAAAAAATAGATATAAATAGTAATATAGGACAAAATAATAAATTGTGAGAGTAAAATACGTCAAACTCATTTTTTTAAACAAAAAAATCATAAGTTTATTGACTTGAATTTCCTTAAAATAATAATCGTATATTTTAATAAATGTCTCATTGCTAGATTTGTAGAAAATCACATATCATCGTGTCCGTACCTGTGTCCATATCCGTGCTTCTTAGGTGTTGACACAAGTTAATTGTCCTTAACATTATTCGATATGTGCCTAGCTAACCAATGTTAAATTTGTATTCAATTTGTTTAATTAGTGTCTTGTGTCTATTGTGCTAATAAATGTCCGATAGGTGACCAAAAAATGTTGGAGTGCCCGATAAAGTACACAAACTGAAGTCTGAAGTGTCCATTCTTCAAATGTTCTGATTTAAAAAAACTTACTCTCCATATCCAAAATATATATACTTTATGCTGCTACGAAAAGATGTATTTAATAAATGTACCACTCAGAAAATACAAACTATGCTGTAGTCTTAGTTAGAAAAGTGCAATTAGATTTGAATATTCGAACAATTATCTCGAACGATGTAATCCTGGCAGAGTTACGTTTTACTTTGTTATACTGTAGGTGCCGATTTATATTCATAAAAAAGGAATTGATAGTGGACATAATTCATAAATATAACATTTATAAGTGCACTTAAAGTTGTACATGTATGAGAATCTACAGGATTATGCAATTGACTTTGATGATGAAGATCATCCTGTGAAAGCATTTCAATGCTGTTGTGGAAGTGCATCTTGTCGAGGTGCGAAGAAACGAAAGGAAGCACAGTTAAAGGTTTGTCGCATTCTTTTTATCAATAACTCTTAAGTTTTTGGTGCTGTAGAATCTTGTTTGTTGTTCCATGTAATTAGGAGAGATATCTTCAATGATATTTGATAATTCATTATTTTTGAAGGCATTGGGATGAAAAGAAATTAGAAAATGCATGAAAAATGAGAAATACATGTCTTAACCAGTTGAGCTATGTTTAGGTTGACGTTTTTAGAAGATGTTTTGGTATTGAGTGAGACTATTGAGGATTAAATGAGCGGGTAAATGAATTAATGGGACGATTGCGATAGTTTTCCTGTCCCTTCATAAATGTTTGCTGCCTGCAAATATACACTAAATTCTCCCCGTATGCCCCATTCTGTTTCATCTCCAAACATATCTCACCTATTACATTCGATTTGTCATGTTGCTCTCATATATTTCTTAAATGATATAATTAAGTGTTGGTTTTCGGTAAAATATTATAATTGAAGTTTGTCCCACGTCGGAAAGAAAGATACGAGGAGGGGTGCTTCAAGTAATATAAAATGAGCTCATGACTTTTGATTTTATTCATTCTAATTGAAATACTTTTTAAACTTTATATACTAGCTAGTTAACTAAACGGTATTTGTTTTGAGAGAGTGTTTTGTGTAATTGAGATCGGGGAGAGAAATATGTATGGTTGTAATAATTTTTTACATAGTGAATTTTCGTTAGTGGATCATGGTTTTTTCTCCGGTTTGGAGTTTTCCATGTTAATTTTGTGTTCTCTTATTTTGTTGTTCTCTTTAAATTTCTCAGTTATTTTATACCTATTATTATTAATAGTAAGTAGAAGTAGAGAGGTTTTTGCCTATCATTAAGACGTTACGTAAACGTTAAACCAACGAGATTAACAACATGAACTTATTAGATTCAAATGTGAAAGTTAGAGGCTCTATTAGAATTTTTTTAAGTGCATGGATTAGATGGATACATCTAATGTTCTCAAGTATAAATAGAATCTCTTTTTAAAATAGAGACTCGATCGACAAATTTGGAAGCTTAGAACCAAACTTATATTTGTGTTTATTTAGGTGATGGCGTGCAACAAATGAGACCCACCACATATTTTGCAAGGATCTGTCTGCACATCTGTTGCGAGCATCGGTATATCAATATTTTATTACACAACTTTGAAACTTGGTACATTTTTCTTTACTTCTTAGAACTCTCTACTTTTGCTTTTCTATGATATATAATATAGTGGAATATGTTTCTTCTTTTTTTCTCAGATTTTCACAATTTCCTCTATTTTCAGTGTTCTTACTGTTCCCTTTTGAAAAATATTAGTTGTTTTACATTTTCATTATTTATTCCTCTTCCATGTTTTGTAAAGAGGATTCTTAGTGTTTATTTTGGGGGAAATTTCTGTTGAGGTCCCAATTTTATCTTTTGTATCTGAATCTGAATCTGAATCCAATTTCCCTCAACAACTTCTCATTTTTCTTCCTAATTCTCTGTAGAAAATCTGTTGAGTATTTGAGGTGAACAAGCTTATGAAACCAACCAGATTTTCATGTTAGTTCATCCAAAAATTGCAGAGATTTCCCAAGTTTTGATATTTTAAGACTTCTACCTTGTAGCGATGCTATGTTTTTTTGAAAGCTATTTTTAAAAATGGAATTTTTAATGGGTCGTTAAGGGTGCATTTGGTTGGTATCAGATAATAAGAGATTCAATGAAAATAAGAACTGTATTTCATGTTTTCGAATACGTGCTTGGTAGCAGATTGTAATAGGTGTGTTTAATAATATATTTGTAAAGTATTGGTAGTTACCCACTAAATATTTAGGCTTCGTTTATTTACTTGGATCGTAATGAAAACTTTCACTTCCTTTGATGATATTTACCTCAAACTTTGTAATTTCATCTCCTAAGGGTATAATCCGATTGCTCTTACAACTCTATCAATCTCATTTCATTTCTTATTCTGTGGGTTCCACATATTTATTATAATTACTTTACAACTTAGAGAGAGCGATATGAAAATGTCGAGTTAGACCCGTGTCGAGTTAGACCCGACCCAACCGAGCTTATTTGGCAAATGCCACGTCACCAATCTGTTTCCTTATTAATGGTAGACTAATGACAAGGGCCAAAATGTATTTTTCAAAGTACAGGGACTAAAATTAACACTAGATAAAAGTACGGGGACCAAAAGAGTATTTTAACGTATTTGTAACTAGATTTTTATTTTCGTTTATCTTCACAATTTCTCGGTCTATTGTCTACGATTCACAATTTCTCGGTCTATTGTCTACGAAACTGATGAATATGATGATGGAACGACTTTGTTAATGAAACAATCTCACATTCTTCATAATTGGCAGAGAACACGATTTTGAGGGAATGTGACCGACTGTTGGAACAATAAATCAAATCATTAGAATTTTTAGGGAATGTGACTGACTGTTAGTTATGTGTATTTGTGTGTATACTGTATACTATGTAATACATTACTACCAGTCAGTAGTGATAACAATAAATGATTTTCTTAAAAAAAAAAACAAAAGTAATGCAGAGGCATTACTTTGTTTTTGTTTTTGAAATTAGAGTAAAAATTTGTATATGTTTTTAAAAGAAGTGAAAGACTTAACTACTGAAATTGTATGAGAACAAACAAGCTTAATTTTAATAAATAGAAAAATAAAGCCAAACCATATAGTTATCGAACTGGACTTTAGTTATTTGCTCCTGATGCAACTCTTTTAAATATTATACTTAAATTATCGAGCTTCCTTTCCATCCCATTCAAAGCTAGAACAATAACAGTATATTGGGTAAAAATAACAGTAAATTGTCTTTAGAATTCTCCTATATATTTATAATTCTACCTTTTATTTAACGCAGAGACACATTTACAGCTACGAAAGAAAGAGCATTATGATCTAATTCAATGGTGGCCCTAGGTACGAGACTCAAATCTACAACAATGCTTCTAAACATAATCAATATGAGCAGAACGATCAATGAAATCAAAAGCAAACTATGAGATTGAAATATAAAAGAATGAAGAAAAGAACCAGTCGATTTCCATATGAGAAAATGGCAGTAATTGTGTTATGAATCTATGATATCTCCATAAGAATGGAGATGAAAAGAAAGGGCAATGACATTTAATTTGAAGGCTTAATCCTGCAAACTTCTATGAAATATCCAGCAGTACAATCTAGTACTTGAGCCTGAAATGTAGTGGTTGGGTATTCAGCCGGCGTACCAGAAGGCTTCACTTTAAAGGTGATGTACAACCCGATACCGCAACTTCCTCCCACGTTAGCCTTCTCAATTTCCACCACCTCAAAATTAGTATTCTGTGTAAGATTAAAATTAAAATTAGAAACAAACACTAATCCCATGTAAAGAAAGATCAAAGTAAAGATCAAAAGTTGGAGACTACGTACATTCTTTTGGTTGTAGTCTTTGATGGCTTCCTTAGCACCATGTTGAATTTCTTCGGTAAAGCATCTATTAATATCCTTGATAGGCGTAATTGCACCGCATAAAAGAGAGCAAGGAATAGTTTCAACATCGAACCCCTGTGCAAGTGCAATTGCATCCAACTAATTAAGCTAAACTATGCTAACAATCATGACGAAAGTATATTTAATCAGCCTAATGAATAATAATAATAACCTCGCTAGCATCAACTCACGAAAGTATGCCTCCAACTCTTCCTGTGTCATAATAGGATCATCAGGGTCATTAATGTCTATAAATCCATAATATGGAGGTTGTGGAGTACATTTTGATTTTGATTTTGGTTTTGATTTAATACTGCGGTCAGAGGAAGAAGATGATGGCTCCCATCCTATTATATCCACCTACAACAAAAATAAATTGATTTGTATTTTCCATTATTAAATGAATGTGAATGTTGCAAACTTGAAATTCTTTGCAACAGAATGAATAATCCAATAAAGTGATTCTATATTGCAAACTGATTCAATTAGCTAAGAATGACCTTGAAAATCGATGAAACAGAACTCCTTTGACGTTGGTTCCAATAATGAATAATGCAATAAAGTGATTCTAGAGCATAGATTAGAGCAAAGTAAAAATTTAATCCAATTGCTATATTGTAAACTGATTCTATTAGCTAAGATTTAATAATGACCTTGAAGATCGATGAAACAGAACTCCACGTTCCTTGACGTTTGGTTCTAATAATGAATAATCCAAACAAGTGATTTTAGAGCACAGATCAGAACAAAGTAAAAATCAAATCAAATCATATCGATCATATCTATAACAAAACAAAAATTATAATGAGATTAAAACGAAAACGCGTGGATTCGATTCCATTATATTGATCGCAGATCCGATCGATTTCACAAGAAAAGAACTTACGGGGAACACAAAGACGAAGACGGGATCCAAATTGCAGAGTGCAGCGATGGAAGACGACGAGGAGCGACGCGAGAGATTGAGAACTGAAGAGGGAAATTCTGTTAAGACTTAGCCCTACGCGGGTACCAAAAATAAGGGAAATTGGCCCAAAACCCTTCCTCTCAAAATATCTTTTTGTGATCCACTTTTAAGGATTAATGACGTGTTAGAAGAAATGAAATAATTATAATATCCTAAACTTCAACCGATGACCGCTGTAGAAATTCCGGACCAAGGTAGAGTTAATTCCCACCCGAGGTTCGGTTCATTTAATTCGAAAATTAGCTTTTCACATGCCAATGTACCACTCGTATTAAGTTTTACAAACTAATTTGTACAGTGGTCAACATCAGTCGGTCGGATCGATTTTGAGGTCAAAATTTCTACCGATCAATATATAGTCGGATTCTCAAAATGAAAATTGACCGACTGAGTAGGTGAAGCTTCGGCCGACCAAAACAACGTCGGCTCGATCGGTCCGTTTTTGAAAAATTATTAATTGTGTGCCTTGGTTTTCCAGAGTGGCTGTAGAATGGTTGTTCATATATAGTTGTTCTTAAGGTGCGTACTGTAAGTACAAAAATCATGTTTGATTTTTTTTTTCTTTTTTAATTTTTATGCACACATCGATCAATAAAATCTTATTTCCGACCGACTGCTAGTTGGTTTTGCATTCGACCGACATATGAAGAATCGACCGACCGACTTTGGTTCGATCGATTGGCTCAATTTGACGGGTTTATGTGTACACCCCTAAATCTGTACATGTCATTACTAATTTCAGAGAACAAAAAGTTCTTATCGTGAATATTCTCTCTACACAATCCTAAACATTTGAAAAGTATTTCGATTGTGAATATTCTCTTTGGAAGTTTGAAGATTTTGAAAGAGATAGTTCTTTAATATTGATCATTTCTCCTCTTTCTTTAAGAACCTTGCTTAATGGGTCACATTTCAAAAGTTGTTTTTTGTTTGGCTCCTATTTTATTTGTTTTATTACAGTTCAAGTAAGGTTATTGTGCTGGGTTTTGTAATTTTTAAACCTAGTTTTCTATTTGTGCATGATTTTGTGAAAGGTAAACCCCGTTTCTCACGCGAGATTTGTTGTTTATCGGTCGAGGTTTATATGTTTTGATTGACCTCAAGTGTGATTTTATAGTTTTTGCCTGAGGTCAAATGTAACTATGTAAGGAATACAAGAAGTTGACAAGACCTATTCCCCTGTCGTGGTTGTAGATTTAACTCACCCCGGGCGGGAAAATAAGGCTCCCAGGAGAGTTTTACAATTTTTTTTTTTTTACGAAACACGTGTCCCCTGCCTGAGGTTTTCTTGGTGTTTTCTTTTTGTTCTTTTCCCTTTGGTTTGTTTCCCCATCTCTAATTGTCTTGCACTTGTTATTTATCATTTGCAGAACACAATGCTTCGCCTTTTTATTAGCTATGAGGATAGTGGAATCAGATAAACACTGTATACAAAGGTGGAGTTATGGGAGGTTTAGATGTCGATAAAGGCATAACATATTATAGAGACCTCGTAGCGCAATCTTCAGGCTTACTAGAACAAATCTTGACTTTTTCAATATTATTATACAATGTATCTACAAATTCGAGTTCCAGTACCAAGTGTCGAACTATTATATACAATGTATCTATCATACAAAAAGAAATATAAAGCAGTAGTAGCAATTCACATAATGTACCCTTATATCCCCAAACTGAAACATTCTCTTTATTTCCATGCTAAGTAAAACAAAATGCTCCATCTTCCATTCCATTGAATCCTATGCACTCCCTCCTATGTATTGTCTATCCCTTATCTTTTGTACAATTAATGACTCCACCGACGGAAAATGTTGTCCAATGCAATTTAGGCGACGATGAACAAGAATATTTCGTTCAGTGGGATGAGGTTGAAGATAAGGATGATGAGGACCATGAGTACATGATGGTTGGGATGCTCTCGAGGATGATCGTGATGATGATGATTACTCAGACACTGAGAATGATAAAACGTTTTTTTTTTTAATTTCCTAACCATTTTTCCATATTTTTTGCGAATATTGTTAGAGATGTCTCAATGCTACAGAAACATCTATGACTCACTCCATCAAAATATCAATATTTTATATTATTTAGCTTTTATAAAATTTTATTTTCAAATACACCCTATTAGAATTATTAGAATTATTGTAGGCCTAAAAGTTATGGTTTCACGGTTACTATGTTGAAAATAATTTTAGAATGTTATTTACAACTTATCAAAGAAAATTACTTAAAAAATGGAATCTTATATTTTACCTTATGTTTCTAGATTTATTCATATTTATTGGTACGTTAGTTATTGATTTTGTTGTTTACTTTCTCTTTTAGGTGGTTTATTAAATGATAACAAATAGGAAACAAGAATACAAACAGATGTAGAAATAGAAACCACTTCCGAAACGAAGGGACTAAACAGGAACAAGAGGGATCCACCGAAGAAGATACTTCTCCTTCCCTTTTTTCGGAAGAAAAGGAGGATCCGGACAAAATCGACGAAACCCAAGAGATTCGAGTGAATGGAAAGGAAAAAACAAAGGATGAATTCTACTAAAAAAAGGACACGCTATCAAAATAAAAAAAAGACCTGTTTATGAAATTTCTTACACCATAGGTGCAACTATTTTTTAGGGGTTAGATATATATACCATTGATGGAAATATTTAAACTAATTATACTCGAAGAATATAATTCACTAAAAAATAAAATTTAAAATATAAATTTATTTGATATAAAATTATAAATTATAGTTTTAAATAAATAATACATTTTCAAAATTTTTTTAATTTAATAAATAGAAAATATTTTTTTTTTGTAAAAAAAATATAATAGCCTAAATAAAGAATAAATGTCCATTATCCACCTTTAGAGACATTTTTGAAGCAGGTTCGTTTAACACATCTTGGCCAAGCAGGAAATAAATGCTTTGTTGGTTGAAAGTGCTGTCTTCTCTATTCCTAGACATAGGAGAGAGGCTCACTCTTCATCCATAGTATCCGCTGCATCTTTTGTCTTCTCTTTTGACAAATTATTTTAATTTAATAAATAGAAAATGCAATTTTTATTTTAAAAAATATAATAACCTAAATAAAGAATTTCATAGTACACAACTAGTCTAATTAAACTCGTGCAGCCTTTGTTTCATGAAATTTCTATTTTTTTTTTTTGAAATCGTTGAAATCCCTAAATCCCTAAAATCTCTAATTTGAAAACCTAAAATCCCTCGCACACCACCGCACTCACATAGAAGACTACCACAGGTGAAGGCGACCTATAATACTTTTTCCAGTAGATTTTGTGGCTTTTTCCGGCAGAAGACCGCTTGTTAATAAACTACCAACGTCGCACATCCTACTTTCTACCATTGCTATTTTCCGTAGTCCATTTTTTTTGCCATTGACGTTGCTGTTTTTCTGTCGAGAGTCTAGTCATCTGACTTTACCGAAACAATCCACAATCAAACCTCACACATCTATTGCCATTGGCATCATTGACTATGTGGTCACTCCTTGTGTTTATCCCAAGTCTGATAAGGAGGTATATTTTCAACCATTACGGGTATATACAAGATTTTCTTTACAATATATTTACAATTGATGGTATAATTTTAAAACTATTGAAAAAAATTGAATCTACTAAATATATATTTATATGTATTTATATGTGTTTATGCAAGGATATGCACAACAGTGTATCTCTGATCGCAGCTCGAACTCGGTCTCCGGACCGATCTGAACACTTGGGCGGACCTGCACAAAAAGGTGAGCACTCCGACGATCAAGTCAGTATAGGTCGGATTCCCAGTTTTAGTTCGAGGTAAAAAATCATCGTACCTGATCGTGGAGTGAGGTCCTCTACTTATGGGTGGTAGTCCCGTTAATCTCGCGACGGTTACACCCGGTAATCTCGGGACCGTAGGTTACACCCGGTAATCTCGGGACCGACGGTTACACCCGATAATCACGCCGCTGACAGTAGCTCACATCGGCCCCCACCGAGCTTCCCGGTAGATCGGACCTTGGCCAGGTCGCACCTCGGCCCTCATACTTAGCACCTGTCAACGCTACTGGTGGTGATCTCGGCGGTTCGAGCTGGGCATGACTCATGAGTCATCTTGGAGCACCAATAGCGGTCCTCCACGTGTCCAGGGTATTCTCTTCCCCAAACATTGGCCCCCTCTCTGTCTGGTCCGATCTCGACCTGRCAGAGAAGTTCATTCGACTTGCTTTGGACACGTGGCGACTTCCTATTCGTGGGAAAACATAACTGTTGCGGTGGATTTATYGTCGGAATATTCAAATATTCCGACGCTTCGSATTTTYGGGAGGATCCTAGCCGCTCGTTGATTACACGTGTACRGTGGGGAMATTTTTCCGACGAGCTATAAATACCCCCAGTCCTTCAGGTCATACCTTACGCTTCCTGAATTCTTGGAGTTMGATCTGAAAGCAGCTCGAACCCTTGGTAGGTCGGTCTCTTTCCTCACTTTCTTTTTCGAACATAGTTTTCATGTCGTCCTCTTTTAGYAGCGACTTAGGATCCGAGGAGGAATTAGCTCGTAGGTYAGAGTCCGAGCTCGAGRAGATAGAAAACTTTAGGTTCTCCGATGACGGGGAGGATAGTGACGCTTCCACCTCGGGTCAGGGTCTRGAATAYCCTTCTAGGATACCCGAGYACTACCTCGGATCCCTTCGTAGGGGGTTCGCTATCCCTGAGAACATYCTCCTYAGGATTCCGGAGGAGGGGGAGAGAGCTGACAATCCTCCAGAGGGATGGGTCACTCTCTACTTCAAAATGTTTGAGTACGGCCTCAGACTTCCCCTTCACCCTTTCGTACAAGAATTTCTCTTCCGAACTGGGCTGGCTCCGGCTCAAGTGGCCCCCAATGGGTGGGGTGTCATTTTTGCTTTGGCCATCCTTTTTTGGTTACGAGCTCGGGACAACGAAGAGGCCAAGCTGCTGGACGTAGACCAGCTCCTCGTGTGCTTCGAAGCGAAAAGGTAGATAAGAAGCCCGGTCGGTACTATATGTGCGCAAGGAAAGGCGTAGGATGTACAGTTAAGGGGCCGACCTCCATCAAGGGATGGGTGAA